GCCTCCAGAGTTTGGAGTTGAAAGGGAACTAGCAAGGGGACTAGCAGCACAGCTGGTGTGTAAAAGGTAGCAGTGGGGTTCCCACACAGCTGTGGGCTGACCGGCATGGGAGGAGGGGGCACACATCATACCGCTCCTCATTCTTATGACTGGAAGGCTCACCCTCCATAGGCCGGCACAGGGGAGTTCGGCGGGAGAGACCAGACATAGGGGCACCAGGGCCTGCGTCTGGCAACAGGGCAGGCTGGTTGAGGGCCTGAGGCTGCACTGGCTACTCAGGGGGCTGGAGATGGGGCACGTTCTGCCTCATAAGGCTGCTGGTCAGAAGCAAGGGACCAAGTATGCAAATGCACAGTGGCTGGCGGGCCACGTTGGTCATTTGCTCTCCAGCATAACAAGAGCCTACCAAGATCTAGGGCAGCACGAGAGGGCAGAGAGCCAAAGGAGAGGGAGCCCCTGACTGGGGCCCTGCTCTCCAGAACTAGAGTGCTAGGGAGCACATGGTGACAGCTCACCCCACGCGGCCAACCAGGAACCAAGGACACAGGGCAGGGCTCGGTTTTCCTTTTAAGTGACCATCCCTTGGGAAATAGGCAAGGGGAAGAAACAAGTTTGTTGGTATCCTCTGTGCCCCAAACTCCATCTGGGACTGTTCCTTGTCTCAGAGAAGCTAGCACATGACAGATACTTTGTATCAGACAAAGTAAGCCAAATGGGACCTCATCCCCACCACCTGCCCGTATCACAGACAATACGGATTACAGGCTACAAGTGGGTTCTGTACCTCCCGGGCACACTTGAGAAGATCCTAACACAGCATACCTTTTCAATTTATAAACTGCAGGGTCACAACTCTGGTCCCCATGGCTGGGACAAGCTGGTTCACACCAGTTATTCCATGAAGAGATGCCTGCAACCAAACTATTCATCCATCTCTGAGGCCTCTGTAAACTAGAACTGGCATGTCATTATTACAGTGAAGTAGCTGGGCTCCTGGCTTTTAAGTCACCTTGCTCAACTCATCGTGATAGGGTAGCCTTGGGACATCTCATGGGCACAAGCAGGAGGCGCTCCTGCCAGAGCACAGCAGATTCTGTGCCCCCCATCAGAACCGCTACCAAGTACAGCAGGGCCAGGAGCCCCACCCCACGCTCCTAGAATGAGCAGTGTTATCAATTAGCACTGAAAGAAGCAGCCCAGTTTGGGAAAGGTAATAAAAATAAGGCAATAGATATCTCTAGTGGAGGGTGGAAGAGGGACGAGTGCCCAGGACAACCCAAAGTGCGGTCTGTGGACCAGCCGCATGAGCATCACCTGGGAGCTTGTAGCACGCGCTTGACTCCCTGGGAGTGGAGCCCAGCACTGTGCCTGGAACAAGTCCTCCAGGTGACTGATTCTATGGCACTGAAGCTGGAGAAGCTATATCTAGCTTCCTGTCCTGGAAAGAGGCCTGAAGCTTGACACAACTGTTTCCAACTAAGTCCTCATGCTCTATGAAAAATCGGACTTCCCTCTTTTCAATAAACTGGAAAAGCCCCACAAGAGAAAGACAAGGGTGTGGGCTATGTCCACAGTCAGAGATGGAAGAACGGAATGCAGAGTAAGCCAGGACAGAATGGGACAGAGAACTGCACTTTCCTCAGCTGTCCCACCCCAATCTCCCACCCTCCCCTCTACTGGGGCACCCTCTTCACAGCCACATCAGTGACCAACAAAAGGCCAAAAGAGAGATTACCACCATTTGGTGCAAGGGGGGGGGGTGGGGGTGGGGGTGTGAGTGTGTGTGTGTAACTCAACACCTGCCCACAGTTAACTCGGAATCTGGGCTGAGGGCTGCCCCATCTCCACTCTGACCGTAACTGCAGCACAGCCGGGTGGCAAGCCACTCATCAGCTGGCCTGTAAGGAAGGCTCTCAGTCACCTCTGCTCTGGTATCCTTCAGGCTCTTGGGCAAATGACCTGGTCCTCGGGTCAGCGGACAAGAGACAGAATGTTGTAAAAGCTCCGCCAGACATGGAGGTGTCCTGGGTCCTGACCGAGCAGGTCACGCCATGGGGAGGGAGGCCTTCACCAAGCCTAGACTGTCTGCTGAGCTGGCCAGAGGCTGTCCTCTTGGGTGGGTGGGAGGACACCAGGACTTAAACACAGTGTGCGTGGAACAGGAAGAGGAAATACCCACAAATTAAAACGTACACCCTATTTTAGCTCTAAACACACATCCCTCTCACAGAGAGCAATGTCCAAAATAGCCTGTCCTATTTTAAGGAGATCAAAGGCAGTTTCTAAATGGGCCACAAAGCAGACCCAGAGTCTGGAAGATCAGGATTGCATAATAACCTAGGGTTAGAGGCTGCAGATGGTGTTTAACCACCTCCCACACCAGCCTGTTTAAGGCCCAAGACACTGGGACCCCAAGAGCTAAACTGGCTGCTCCAGTCCTCCTGACTCAAATTCCATCCTCCACCTCTGATCTCTCCTCCCACATGGGGGCCCAGGCCATGGGAGTCAGAGGAGTCTGCCACCTGCCCTCCCTCACCCACTGTGGTCTCCGGGGCAGGAGAGCCCTCCTCAGTGAATGGACACAGGAGAGGTGGGAGCACGGTGTGGTGGAGGGAGAAAGTCCCTGCTCATCAGCCAAACTTTGGCCTGAAGAGGGTCAGTCAACTCATGGAGGGACTGTGACCACCACGGTCTTATTCTCTCACAAAGGGAGACCAGTGACGGCCAGCCAAAACAGCTCAAGATCTGCAGGAATCGGGGCTTTGGCTAATCCTTTCTTGTCAGGCTGTGGTCTGCAAACACGGGGTTGAGTACCTCAGACAGAGAAAGGCTGCAAGCAAAGATGCCCCTAGAATTGGAGAACAGGGTCTGGAGCAGTCAGTGGCTGAGACCATGGTTTCCCTAACTCAGGCAGGATGACCAGAATGTGCCACCACACCTGCTCATGATAAAAGGCCAAGAGGGTGCTGCTGTGGGCACCCCAGGGTGTGGGGCGGGCAGGTGGAGGGGCACAGCATGCCTCCTCTCCCTGGAAGGGGGACTACCCCACAGTCAGGAGCACCGTCTGAAGCCAGACCTTCTGTGTTCCCACCCTAGCTCTGCTACTCACCAGGCGACACATAACCTGCGCTGACTGGCTTAAGCGCCTACCCCTCAGTCCCCCTCCTCTGAAACCGGCCTAAGAGGCATCTACCTTGTCCGGCTGTTGCACGGACGAGGTAATTTCATCCCCGTAAACCGCGGCACACAGAAAAGCTACTCAGGTGTTTGCTGTTAATTATTACTCTGACCCGGCATGGACACTCCCAAGCCCCGGGGACTCTTCCATCCATTCAGAAATAAGGGTTCTGGAAGCACTTGGGCCAAGCCACGGGCTCAAGGACAGCAGGGAAGGGGCTGGAAGTACCCAGAGAACATAGAAAACTTACAACAGGAAGTAAGGCCTTGATGAAGGTCAATAAAGCTATTAAAAGCACCCATTAAAAACCTGGCTAGAAAAAGAATAGTCCAGAGGGCCCTATGAGAATTTCTACCCTGGCAACCAGGAACTCAGAAGGAGGCGGGCCCCACTCCCTCTGGAGCTGGACAGGTGTCCTGGAACCCCACCCCAGGACTTCACCCCCAGCAGAATTCAGCCTCCAGACGTTTCCTCCCTGCACACACCCAGGGCTGGGCCACAGCGCTGTGGTGAAGGCCCCCCTGACTCCAGCGTAGGGGACTGGAAACCCTGGGGCGGGGAGAGGGGGTTGCTGCTGGTCCCCATCACCTCCACGATGGGTGACCCATCTGGAGAGACTTCCTGCTCTGAGGAGCTCCTGGGCTTGAACCCTCCTGAGGGAGACGAGCAGGGCAACCTTCACTCAACGTGGAGCTGTATTTGGACTGAGAAGCCAGTCGAGTGTGAGTGTATACAAAACCTTAGAGCCCCGTGCAGTTAGCACTGGTGTGTGTGGCCTAGCAATGCCTGACAGAAACCTGGGGTTGCCTAGCCCTGAATAAGCAAAATTCAAATTCTAGGAACTATCAAGACTCAAAGTTTTACAAGCTTTCTGCAATCTCAACTTAAAAAAATAAATCAAGTTTCTTACAGTATGAATCTTCATTATCCTATTCTAATTAAATTCTTTAAAAAGTTTTGAGATTTTAAAAAAATTTTTCAGGTGGCAAGTCTGAATCATTTTATTAAGCAGAAAAATGTGGGCAAGATCTCATGGCAAGGAAGGCTTGTTACCACAAAGCTATTTGGAGTTGATTTTAGTAAGATTCTGCCATCAAATCTTGACTAACTGTGGGTGGATTAAACATTTGTGGATTCACCTTGGTAAACCAGGAGAAAGGTACTGTATTTGTGGGAAAAAATTAAAACCATGATAATTGCACTCCACAGTCATCTGGACTTCCTGGCAATAAGGGGGGGGCACATGGGACCCCCTACAAAGTAGGTCCTTCCCCACCATGAAAAGTGCTGCTCCCTGCCTCCCCAAGCACCCCACCCAAGTAAAGAAAACAGGGAGCCGGGAGTGGGCTGCTGAGCTCACCCGTGCCCCACACAGCCCGGTCTGCCACAGCCATAACCATTTTTGGTCATGCGATCAAACACTTGACGCTTTAAAGTATAAGAACAATATATCTGTAAAAGTTCAATGTGCTTCTAAATTTTACATTAACTTTTACCAGATTAAACTCATTTTGTACTACATTTTGACTCCTTTTGTGGTACCTGTGATTTTGCTTTATCCAAGGCCTGGCCTCCCTCTCTCCGACCTCATCTGTCATCCTGGATGATCAAGAGTTGAGTTTCAACAGCTGGGGGAGAGAGACCATTTTGGTACTTGAAGCAGAGCCCACGGGGTTTTAGAAGGCTCTCTGGAACCTGGAAATCTGAGGGGCTAACTCTCTGACTTAAATGAAATCCCTTCCCCGGCTCTCTCAGCACACAGGCGATGCAGTCCAAAGCCCTTCACCCGGCATGGACCAGCGGCCCATCCACCTCTCCCAAGCTTACTAAATGCCACACCACAGGTGGTTTCTCTCCGGCTTTCAAATACGCATCTCCGTGCCTTTGGCTGGGGTTCCCTCAGTCTAGAATACCCTTCCTGTTCTTGTTCTTGTGGGCTTGGGCTTGACAATTCCTACTCATGCTTCATGCCCAGTTTAAATAGCAGTTCCTCTGTGAAGCCTCTCCCACACCCAGGCAGAAATAAACACCTTCTGCTCTTTATGACACAGCCCTCTCTATAGCCATAAAGAGAAACACCTTTACTACACTCTAAATCCCCACAAGCTCCTCCAGGGAAGGGACTGAGTCATCTCCATCTTTAACCCTTCAGTGCTCAGCACAGAGCAGACCCATGGAAGCAGCCCCAAAACAAGCTTTTATTAGACGAATACATGACTGAGAAACATGCTTTGTATCTCCCATGCCCTAGACGGGTTTGGTACATAAGAAAAATTATTTGGAAATGTTTTTTAAAAATAAAATAGATGTTTTCTTAAGTCATGCCTCTAAAATAGTTAAACCAATTTTCCTGCTCCTCACTACGGCTGACCCAATGGCAATGTGCAAAGAGGCTAGAACTGCCAGGGACGTGGCGAACTGCCTGGTTGAAATGGGTCTGCAGCCTCCTAGCACCTCACGGAATACAAGAAGGCCAGGGGTCTGTTTGACTCTCACCTGTCACTCACCAGTGGGCCAGTTACCTGCTCCAGCCCTCATGATGTCTGTGGAGTGAAGGGTGACACAGCACCCATCAGGGCTCATCTCACCACAGGCTCTTCAGAGCACAGAGATCTCTAAGGCATTTCCATGTTGCAAAGAACACTACACACATCCATCTCTAACTACCTTGAAGGACCTCCTGCTTAAAAAGAAAAACAAAACCTGCCACGGACCCACCAAGCATGCAGAAGGATGGGAAATTGCCCCCACCTGCTGTGCCATGGACACTAAAATCCACTCGGTAACAGGTTGATTTTGAGGCTAACAAGGTAATACGATATTATTAATACAAAAAGAGAAATAATGGGAGACTAAAATACAACCACAAGTGATTTCATAAACCGTGTGTATGGCTTTCCATACCAGCCTAGTGAAAATAGTGCATGCTTTAGAAGAGAGGACGCAGAAACATACATGTCTGTATGTGACAGACCACCTCCAGGAGGATGCACAGATATACTGGGCCTGCTGGCTGCCTCTGGACAGCGGAACTAGAAGACAAGACAGAAGCCAGAATTCTTCTCTCTGTACCCGTTTGTCATTTTGGAGTGATGCCAAAGGTAAGTAACACCGTCATAGTGTGTGAATATGTCAGACCTGTAATAGCCTCAAACAAGTTCTGAAACTGTCCCCCGGTGAATAAATTGTATCTTTCCCAATAACATATGTCTTAACTCTCAAACATTTCACTCAACTCCCTGGTAAAGTGGGAAGTCAAGATAGTTTAAGACCCAGATCAGCTTTTTAATGCCACGTGAACTTGGGCGGTCATCTAACAGAAGCGTCACTTCCAGCTTCTGAGAAGCAAGTAAACTATGCTCCTCTGTTTCCAGGGGAGGCTAGACAGACAGAAGGACAGACATAAGCACCCCATGCACTGTGCTACCGGGAGCTGGTGCACCTCCTGGAGCTGAGCTGGACAGATGAAGAATGAGTGGATGAACACAGGGAGGTGGGGCGGTCAGTGGGCCAGGGGTGAGGACACTGCAGGCTGCAAGGTGTCACGGGCACCCGCTGACTCACTAAAGCTCAAGGGGCAGCAACCAGCCTAGTGGCCACGGCCTGGGTGAGGCTGCTGACCACACCACAGGGTTCCCAAAGCAGCCCACCACGGCCAGTGCCCAGAGCGTAGGGGGGAGGCAGGAGCCGACAACTCGGTTGTCATCCTCTCTACACAGCACCTATGATACCCTCCCTTCCTCCTCTCCATGAGGAAGGCCGGGAGCCTGGGCTCAAGATCCAGCTCCAGCCCTGGCTAAGCTGAACGTCTCTGGGCAAGTCCCTTGCCCTTGCTGGCCCTCGGATCCCTCTTCTGTAACAGAGGTACCTCAGATCCCTCATCACTTGCGTGTTTCTGCAGATGCCTTCTGCTGAGGGATTGAGGCCCACCACAAACTGTCCGTGAAGTTTGGGCCAGGGCTGGGGGAGGAGATGCAGGACTCCACTGTAGCCTCTCCCTCATGAACTTGCCATCCACAGGGCAAGGTGACACATGCAAAATGGCTAAACGAGGGAGAAAATGTCTTGCCAGAAGCAGCTGGACAAGGGGACAGGCATTTGTACCAGGTCCCTTTGCAAGAACCACCTGGTCCCTTGGGCACTTGCCACAGTGCTTGTCTCTCCCATTTTGGGTCAGCTTCTCCGCTGGGTTTTCTCCCTTCTTGGCCAGCACTCCCCCAAGGAGTTTTATTCTAACCCCACCCTCCCCACCATACCCAGAGATGCTGGGGGCAGGGCCCTGCATGGGGGGATGGTAGTGAGCACCTGCTAGAAGCCATCAAGGCTCTGGGTGCCGCTGTGTACGTTCACACCACGGACCTTTCTGCTCTGGACAGGTTTGGAAGGAACCGTCAGGGGGTGCTGGGTTCAAGTACAGCTGCGTACGTTGCATCCTCCTCCCCTCACCAAGGACCCCACCCGTGGCTCCTACTCACCATGGCCAACACCCCGCAGCTCTTGCTGATGTCCAGGGGTTGCGGGGTGTGGACAGAAACAGGCTAAGCATTTCAAACCTTCAGTCCACTTAGCAAACACCGAGCTCGTCCCTGGTTCCCGAAAGCTCAATCTGGAGTTTTAGTCTCTGAGAAGCAGCAGATTCATCGGCCTAATGTCCACAAGCACCTCACCATCATCCACACCTTCATCCACAAGAGTTTAAACCTGAGACAGCCTAACAGGAATATTCCAAATGTGACAAGGTACCAATAGAAACCTTAAGTTAAAAAAAAAAAAAAATTCCCACCTGTTACATATTTTAATTCTACATTTTCCCCTGACAGCTTCGGGAGATTGCCAAATTTAAAGGAAAGAAGAAAAGCTTCTCAAAACTCAAATATTGTTTTAACCCCATAGGGCCATTCATCCTTTCCTCCTACACAGAATGGCTGTAAAATAATGCAACTGTCTCTCACAGGGCTTAGTCAGGACATCATTCACGCCGGCCGGCTGCAGTGGGACCACAGATACACATGCACACATCTAACACCCATGGCTAAAACTGTTTTAATGCGACCTCATGTCAAAAGTTTGCCCAAATCATTCTGGTTTCTGAGGCTACAGACTGAGTGGGTCATAGCAAAAATGAAATGCATGTTGAAACATCTTCGAAGAACACCAGTGAAGGGTTTCCCTGGAAATGTCTTTCAGCTCTTCCTAAGGCCTGGCCCTGCACCACACCTGACCGGGGGCGACATCCAAAGAAGGCACCACCCAACTCACCACCACTTCTTCCACAGCCCTGGAGTCACACTTCTTTCCCTTCTGCTCCTTAAGTTCCTGGCCAAGAAGGGAGAAAAACCCCCACCATCCCTCCCTGCAGGGGCCCGAGGTGCTGCGGGCCAAGGATCTGGGCTCTAGTTCCTGCCATGCCTCCCGGTGAGGGGAAGGGAAAGGCTGTCCACTCAGGGACAAAGACCCACCAAGCAGGCCCTCAGCTCCCTTAGAGGCCAGAACTAGCAGCAGGTGGGCTTTCCCCTTCCCTTGGTGCAGTGGGCTCTTACAGGCACGCAGGGCTCCAGTCAGGAGGCATCCAGATGGGGGTCAGGAGTTCAGGAGACATCCAGAGTGGGGCACACCTGTGCTTGATCAGCCCCCATGGGCCAGCTCTCCTCACCCCCACACCCACAAGTCCAGAGCTGGGCTCCTTAAAATCTAGGGATGTGACAAGGCAAAAAGTAGGATTCTAAAATCTCAAGAAGTGAAAAGGAGACGAAAAAGGAAAAAAGGAAAGATTGAGGAAAGTCTTCGTGGCAGCCCCAAATCCTATGTGTGGCAGTGGGTCTGATAGAGACCCTGCCAGATGGGTTAATTCCTCACAGACTTAGCCTGCGTGTGACTCCTTTATATGTTCAAAAGGAACATGCTCTTCATAATCAGTGTCATTAAGAAGGCTTTGTGGCTGTAATTCCCAAGCTCGTAATGAAAAATAAAGTAGCCTCTGTTATCAGGAAGCCAGCGGGGCTTCCCTGGAGCTGTCTCCCTCACCCCCATCAGCACGCCAGGCACTAGGCGGTACTGGCCCCTGGCCACTCACCGATGCCTGCAGCAAACACGGCCTCGCCCTGTTGCAGGGGTGTGGAGACAGCTGCCTGCACGTCGGCCTCGTGCGGGTTCTAAGGCACCCAGGGAGAGGGCCCAAGCCATCGCAGCAGAGACTGCAAGGGAAAGCAGGGGACAGGGGAAGCGCAATTCTAAACCGAGTTGTCAGGATGGCCCTTATGAAGAAGGGGACATCTGAGCAGAGACCCAAGGGAGCTATGAGAGCAAGAAAGCCATGTGGGTATCTGCGGGAAGACATGCCAGGCAGAAGGCAAGCCAGGGCAACCTGCCTGAAGACGGAGTAGGGACAGTAGGAGGAGACTGGTGGCCGGTCTCGGGGGGGCGGAGGCGGGCAGGGAAAGCCCTGTGGAGCCTCATGACCACTGCTTCACCTCCCTGAGCAGCCTCTGGAGGGTTCTGAGCAGAGGCTCGAGCTCATGTGATTTTGCTCTGCAAAGTCTTCTGGCTGCTCTACTAGAATGCGCCCGAGCAGGAGCGAGGGCGCAGTACTGAAGGCAAAGTGAGGGCACAGGGAAAGGAGACGTGTGTGTATTCGGAAGACGGAGCCAGCGGGACTTCCTGACAGATGACACAGAAAGCGAAGGGCTGTCGAGGACACTCTCGAGGCTTCACTGAACACCTCAGTAGCAGAAGGACGGTGTGGTCACTCGCTGAGGTGAGGAAGAGCGGGTGACTACGAGCATGAGTCTGGTCTGGGACACGTCACGTGTGCGATGCTTACTGTCAGGAAAGCAGTGGAGACGTCTAGACCGGAGCAGTGCACTGAGGAATTGTCTGCCTGGGGGACGTAAGTGAGCCACCAGAATGGACGACACCACCAAAGAAGCGAGCAGAGCAGAGGTCCCAAGACTGGGCCCCGGAGGTATTGGGGAGTGGAGGAGAAACTGAACCAGCAGACTGACTG